CCCTGTGCTGTTGTCTCCTGGATCTCAGCTAATTTTTCATGGCTGTGAGGTACATCCACAGCTCATTGGAAATGCCAGAGCATGGATTGCTTCACCTCAGTTGTTGTGCCCAAAGCAAGCAAAAGGAAAACTTAAACTGAGAAAGGGGAGGTTTAGATTGGAGTTTAGGAAGAAATGCTTCCTTGTGTGGGTGCTGAGGCCCTGGCACAGGTTGCCCAGAGAAGCTGTGGCTGCCCCATCCCTGGAAGTGTCCAAGACCAGGTTGGATAGGGCTTGGGGCAGCCTGGGATAGTGGAAGGTGCCTCTGTTAATTAAGTAGACTTTAAGGTCTCTTCCATCCAAAATCACTTTATGTGCCCTGAGATTCCCAACCCCAGGCTAACAAAATCCCTGTTGTACAGTCCTCCATCCCCCAGTGCTGCAGGGCTGGGAAGTGACCCAAGGCTGTGAGCCCCTTATCCCTGCATCAGCCAGGTGGTGGTGCCTGTACAAACTGGGCCTCTGCAGGATTTACCCAGGGATTGCTACAGCTGTGGATCAGCTTTTGAATTTTCAGCTTCATTTTCCTTTGCAAAAGGCCTCTGTGAAAGAGTTGCTGGAGCACGTTAAGAGGGAGCACAGGGTGTTGCCAGGACAGCACCCACCTGGGCAGATGTTTGTGCCAGGACTCAGCGTGTCCATTCATGCATGTTAACAAGGGCTATAAATACTCCGGGTCCTTCGGTGCCACGTGCCCCAGCCTGGCAGGAGGGTGTGTGAGGACGAGCACTCCCAGCTGGGCTCACCAGCACAGCCCCCAGTGCCCCCCATCACACCCAGCCCTGGGCACGGGCACAGCCAAACTGGTTCATCTGCCACGGCCACCTGGGAGCCAAAGGAGGAGCAGAGGAGCAAAACAGAGCATGGAAAGTCCCAGGTCTGCCACCACCCCTCGGAGGAGCTCCCATAATCCAGCCCCTCCTCAACATCTCTTGAGGAGCCCTTGTTGGCAAGGGGTTGGAATGGTTTCTCCTCCTGCACAGGACAGAGCTGCTGCCTCTCCAGAGCTGCTGTCTCCTGCCCTGCACGGAGGTGGCAACTGATGGAAATTTCCATGCACTTCAAAGCACAACCTCAGGATAGCTGCTTTTGTGAGAAACTATCCCAAGTTAAAAATTAATGAAATTCACTTTTAGGATCATTTACTTTCCTCCATCCAAAAGGCAGGATTTTTGCCAGTCTCTCTGCTCAGAACACAGAGCATTCCTGCTTTGGCACCTTGGGGATGTGGCCTCTGGTGGTTAGGTTGCCAATTAATATCAGGTAATTAACACATTTGCAAGGGCTGGTTGAATCCCACCCTGACATTTTGCAAACTCTGCCTGTTTGGGGAGTGTCTTCATCAGCTTTTGAAGTTCTGAGCTCCCTGCAAACCTCAGCCTGCACTGGAAACTGGGGCTGGGCCATTAGAGCAAACATGCCTCAAGAAGCAAACATATTAAGGATTAATTAAATACCAGGATTTATTTAATTAAGCCTCTTCTCATAAGTAGGTAGAGGCAGGAATCTGGAGTGAGCATCCAGCCTTCCTTGCATTCCCATTTTTAGAAATGCAGTTAAATTCTGTGCTGCTTAAAACACAACACTGGGATGATGTGGACCCTTCCAACAGCAGTTCAGGAACTGACACCACAGAACGGAGGTTGGGGACACCTCTTCTCTCTTCCCACACATGGCATCCCCCCATGGAACAGCTGGAAGACCCACAAGCACCCAAGGATCTTGTGGAGTCCAGGGGGTGACAAGAGCCAGCCCTGAGCAGGGAGCACAGGCAGCTTGTCCTCCTCATGTTTTTGATGAAAAGCTTGTCCCTCCTGTTCCCTGCAAGAAAGGCACCGCAGCCCATCCTATCACTGCCAGTTTAAAGGTCTGGAGACTGATCCAGGAAATACTGAGGCAAGAGGATGACATCAGGTCCAAGGTAATTTTGAGCACCGTTGCAGAATGCACTCCCTCACCTCCTGCCCAGCTCACCTGGCAGCACAGGATCACACACAGGTACAAACCATCACCACCACGGCCCAGCTCTGGGCTGCCACCATGCCAGGGCCCTCTGTCACCTCCCCATCTGCTCTGTCTGGGGCAGTTCACTCCACGCAGCACCAAGGACCTGGCCCAGCCCTTGCTCAGTGATTTTCTTCCTCTTCCATCACTCTGTTTCACCATCAGTTTAAATTCTCCATGTTCTAGGGGGCATAGAGCAAGAGAAAGGACAGAGGTGACAGTGCCAGCAGGGCCAAAGAGGTGTCACTGCCACACATCTGCCCAGAGGGACAGGCTCAGCAAAGCTGGACTGAGCAGGCCAGGGGATGGGGGAAAGTGAGGACCATGAGGACAAGGAGGGTGCAAAAAGAAGCCAAAGTCCCCCCCAGCACAGGGGAGGCTCATCACAAGCAACAGGAGGCTCTGAAATCCATGAGCAGCGTGGAAATACAGAGCATTTTGGGCACTCCCTGCTCAGGATATCCCCATTCACTGCCTCCCCAGGGACCACGCAGACAGAAAGAACCACCAAGATCTGATTGATTTGAAAATACATTAACCATAGAGAATAGAGCTTTAATTTTTCTTTCTCAACAACAAGGAACAGTTTACATTAAAAAAAAAAAAAACCTCAAAAGCATGAATAAAATAATATAAAACAGATATTTTACCACAGTGTGGAATTCAGATAATCTAAGAACATTAGCAGCACTTCTACAAATAGATTAAAAGCTGTAAGTGCTCATTAAGCTCAGATCGAGCAACTCCCAGAGACCAAAATGGCATCCAACAGAGAAAAGCAGCAATTCTGTGTAGGGCAACAGAAAAGTCTAATGCCAGGACACCAGATACATTCAAATCCCTGTGCTGAGGGGTAATTCCCTGTCCCACAGAGCCACATGATGGCTGTCACACCCTGTCACCCTGCCTGGCTCTCCAGAACATTCCTTGAACAAGGGAAGTGACAATCGTGGGTCTGAGGTTACACCCATGTTGCATTTTCAAAGCTTTTCATTAATTCTGTTTGGGAAAACAATTTCTTCCCTGGCTTCTGGGAATTACTCTCCAGAGAGAATGAATTTCTGAGAATTTAAGTCAATCTTACATAGTCACAACAATGACATTTTTAGTCTCGCAGTATCCAGGATCAGGATTTCCAATTCTTTATTGTCCTTAGCAGCAAAACCATACTCATTCCTAAAACTTCCATGTATTTAAGATCTTGTGCATAGTTTCATCTTTAGCATTAATTTGTTAAAAAATAATTTTTAAAAAAAGGATAAATGGTGCTTCCCCCCCCCTCATCAAAGCACTGATGCAAAATGCTCTTGCTCCCATCATGTCCCACTGCTGATGGCTCAGGAGCCACCATGGAGAAGGGACTGTCCCCTGCAGCACCATCCATGGGCTCTGCTCAGCTTCCATGTGCAAAATCCATCTATAAAAGGAAGCTATTAAACTACTGAACAGGAATTTAAGGTGGAATATGCACCAATCCAAAATTAAATTAGAAATTAGATTAGATTAGACACATTAAAAGACTTCCACTCCTATTCCAACCATGTACATTCTCCAGGAAGTTCAGGATTCGGGCAAAGTTGGGAAGGAATCCACACACTGAGCTGTGTGAATGTGTGGCTATGGTGCCAAATGGCCTCAGCCATGGCCCACGTGACCACCAGAGGAGAGAAAAGTGGCCACACTGAGAACCACAATGTTTAGATGCCTTAATCAGTGAAATATTGCTTATTCAGGGCAATGAGGATGCTGACCTTGAGTGGAAAAGCAGGAACAATCAGCGGCATTTGATCTACTTCAGGGCATCTGAAAAAACTTTTACAGGAATTTCTGACAGAGGTTCTGGTGAGTTCCAACCCTTCCATAGTGCTAGGAAGGGTTGGAACTCCATCTCTACATTGTGCTCTATCAATTTGTGCTCACACCATAGGAAAGTGCTGAAGGCAAGCCCAGAACTGCTCAGCACTCAGGGAAATTCCCCAAAGGAATGAGAAATAAGACAGAGGTTTGGATGACATGACCATCATTTTGGTCCTACTGATCAAAGGCTCAGAGGCTCCCACTGTGCCTCTAGAGAAAGGGGATTTAGATACTGTAAGATATTTCAAAAGCAAACTTAGGGGATGAGAAGCCCAAAACTGGTCCCATCCCTGGTCAGAGGCCCATTGGCTACAGTGGCTCCCAGTGCAGGGGATGAACCTCAGGAAAAACCAGGAAAGAGAGGGGAAATAGGCAAAATAAGTAATAAATAAATAAAAAACAAAGAATAAGAAGAACTTCATCCCATAAACTGCTCTTGGCCACAAGGCTAGTGTCTCCAGGGATTGAGACAAACCTCTTCAACAATTCCAATCTTTTTTCACCTGTCAGTGACCAGGGCTGACACCTGCAGTTCCACTAATGGCTCACATTGCACTACCAGGTGCATTTGGGTAAGTTAAGGGATGTTCCCCATGCCAGGAGCTGGATGACAGCAGGACAGCGACACAGCAGGAAGTTCCCATGCAAAAAAATCCCTCTCAGTCTTCATAAAAAAACATTCACAGCAAAGCCATTCAGGGACTCAACACAGCAAGAGAAAAACTCCCAGGAAAATCACACATTTAGGAACAAACAACTTCTGAAGGGTCTGCACAGGTGACACCAAAAGAGATGAGTACCAAGAGCTGGTTGGAAGGTTGCAAGAGCAGAAAGCTCAAATGCAGGAAGAGAATCCATCTGTGACTACCTCAGGGGAACACAGGGGCAGGACACAAACACTGAGAGGATTTACACACACCGAGATTATCTGAGCTCAGCAGCTTCAGTGTGAGACAAACCTCAAACCCCACAGCAATGTGGGAGCTCAGTGAGGGGGTGATGGGAGCTGAACTCAGCCCATGGAGCCCATCCTTCCTTCCTTCCTCAGGCTCAGCTTGGAGTGACTGGGGCAGGGAACGTGGGCTGGCAGCTCATGCCACCCTTGCAGCAATCTCCTTGGAAGGAATGGAGTTATGGAATGGTTGGGGTTGGAAGGAAACTTAGAGATCACCCAGTTCCACTCCCTGCCACAAGCAGGGACACCTTCCACTATCCCAGGTTGTTCCGAGCCCTGTCCAACCTGGCTTGGGACACTTCCAGGGATCCAGGGTGTGCCAGTGCCTTATAGTGCAGAATTTCTCCCTAAAATCCAATCCAACCCTGCCCTCTGTCAGTTTAAGGCACAGAGCTCCAGCCCCTGTTCCCACAGAGCCAACAACAGGCTAAAATAGTCCTGGGCTGGCAGTGCCATTGTGGGGGAGCTGCACTGCACAGAGCTGCTGGGATGAGACATTCCTCTTCCCCAAGGGGCCAGACAAGATTACTGTATATGGACAAGCCTGGTGACAGGCCTCTCCTGCGTGGCAAACAGGCCATCCCGGGCTGCACGGCTGGGAGAGATCCCTGCTGGCTTCCAGCACCACGACCGCCCTGTCAGAATTCCAGAACAAGGCTTTATCTCATGGGGATCCAGCAGGGGGGCAGAGCCAGGCAGGAGAGGCTGAGCCCAGAGAAGACCCACAAACAGCTGCACAGAAAAACCTTTGTCTTTCAGCTTCTTAACAGCTTTTAACCATCAAAGAGTGCCCCAGGCTCCTAGAGGGGTCTCACTGTGGGTCCCCACAAGCACAAGAACTTGCCCAGGATACAGCTGAAATATATCTTTTTTATATTAGTGTTCCCTCTTTTTTTTTTTCCTCTTGTCCAGTTTTAAAGTCAGAACCAAGGTGAAGCCAAACTGAGGTTGTGATGGTGGCTCTGCTCTGAGCTTCCTGTTGCCCCACCAGAACAGCTCTCCCAGCACAGGGACAGTGACAGATTGGCACATCATGGAATAGGTGCTATAGAAACCACACAGTTCTTAGAAGCAAAAGATTTCTCACCCGTCCCCCCCCTCAAAAAATAACCCACTTAGTTGACATATTTTCTCTCTATACTGTATATATATTATATATAGACACGATTCTCTGGTAAACATTTACAAGATATCGTAAATAACATTGAAAATTTCTATCTCCATTTGCACAACAGAGCGCACTCACACGCCAGCACACAAGGACACACAGTCAGGTACAATCAATAAATAAATACTTTTTCCCCCCCCAAGAAATTATTCAAAAAAACACTGCTATTGAGCGGCCCAAAGACACTCTCAGTTAATACAGACAGCAAATATTGTGCAGAATTTCTTGGCTGTTTTTGTTTAAAAACCAAGGAAAGAAGCTTGAAAGGTTTAGTGTCAGCAATGTTGCTTGGTCAGGTGGTGTTTAAGGTGACCTGTAGGTCCCTGGCCCTCAGGAAAGGGAGGACAGACACTTCCCTTTCCCTCTAGGCAGGTGACAGACCTTCCTAGAGCCCTGGGGGAACAGGAGCAGCCTGGAAGGAGGGAGGACACGAGCTTTTCACTCTTGCTTGGTGGAAAGATGAAAGATTCTCACAGGAACTGGCAGATCTCAAGCTCTTTGTTTCCTGTGCTACTGCAGCCCAGCACCCTTTGGGGTTTTACTGCTTCAGGGAATTTCCCAGATTGTTGTACACATCTTTTGGGATTATGAGGAGTGAAGGGCTGCCCATTGCTCTCCCCCTTCCTCAGCCCCTTCCCCAAAGGGTTCAGGACGTGCCACTGCCTTTTCCAGCTGTGACCTCCATATCCCAGAATACAGAAATTGCTGATTTGCTCAAAGACAGCAAACCACTGCACCACGCTGCTCAGACCTTCCCTGAAGCAGCACTTTTCTCCTGTGCACACTGACAACCACCTTTTTTCTGCCAGCAACATCTGACACGTGCCACGAGCCAACACAAACCACCACAGACAGATGTTCCACAGGGGGAGGAAGGGCCCCTTTCCCTCCTGTGGGAGCACTCCAGCAGCAAGGCAGGAGCAGGGCCAGAGGAGAGCACACACACAGCACACATTGCACCAGGGGGGAACACAAATGTTTGCAGCAAAACTTGAGAGAAAGTACCCTCAGAGAGAGCTCCAGCCCAGCACTGCCCTCCCGGGCTGGGCTGGACCCTCCATCCACCCACCCCTCTCCTTTTCCTGTATTGTTTTTACCTGAGTTGAAAAATGACTCCGAAGCCTCTGCAGGGCAGCCTGTGTGGGACACAGCAGCTGGAGAGGCACTTCATGCAGTGGGCTCCAGGCTGTGCAGGAAAAGTGGCCACACAAGTGCATCTTCCCAAAGCAAAGCCCATTCAGGGACCTTGGGCTATTTTCCCCTCACAGGCCTGTGGGGAAAGCCCACCAAGACCTAACTGGAGATGCTCAGTGGGTTTAGGGACTCAACAGCCAGCCCTGAAGCTGTCAGAGGGAAAGTCAGGATAATCAGGAGCTCTGACTTGCCTTCTGAGTCCTTCCCTCACAAGAGCTCAGAGGAACAACAAGAGACCAGACTCCTACCACAAGCAGCTAAAGTAAGGCAGGTAAGAAAACCTCCAGCCTGGAGTTCCCAGAGGAGGTCAGGACCAGATTTCCCAGTGTTCAGAGAACATTAAAGAGGCTGTATTTTGAAAAATAACCCCAATGCTGAATTTGGAGCTGTTCTGAAAATACATCCAGACATGAACCTCTCGTGTGCTCAGATATTGTAGGAACAAGGTAAAATCCCAGGGAGAAAACACAGCCCTAAAAAAAGATAATACTGAAGGGGAAGCAATGCATTGAGGGACAAGATCAAAAGAGGAATTTCTGTGATCAAAGTGCCCGCCATTACTGGCAGAACTTCGTTGTGTTGGTGAGAAGCTGAGAACTGGCAGCATCCCTGCGCTGCCTGGGCTCTCAGGGCTGGCTGCCTTCCCACACCACAGGGAAGGGCTGCCCAAGGAAGCAGCTTTCCAAGGAATCAGCTTTGCCTCTGTGCTACCAAGCCCTGCTCCCCCAGCCCCCGAGCTCCACCCTGGAATGTGGCAATGCCTGGGCAGTTTTGGTGGCCACGGCAGCTGCTCCGAGGCCAGGAAGCCACTGCCTGGTCCTGCTCCCAGCACAGGAACACACCTGGAGGGATCTTTGGTTGAGTCACTGCAGAAGGTCTGAGCCTGGGCCTGTGCTGAGCCCAGGGGACTCCCAGCTCACATAGCAGCACATGTCCCACCACCTGAGTCCCACGGGTGTGGCACTTGGAGAAACAGGAGAAGGGAGGAAGCGTCGGAGGGGAGTCCTGGCTCTTTGGGTGCCTCGTCTGCCCCGGCTCCTTCATTTGTTCTCAATCAGAGTCTGCACTTTATAGACCAGGTCCCGAGCCAGCTTCAGGATCTGCTTGGTGTTGTGGCGCTCGGCCATTTCTGCAACACACACCAGCCAGGTCAGAGCAGAGCAGCCCCTACCCCACATTCCCAACCTCCCCTGGCAGGGCCACCTGGCTCTGCAGAGCCATCCTTAACCAGCCCAAACCTCAGCTCCCTCCAACACATCCAGGCTGGCCCCTGCTGAGGAGGGCAGGTGGATTCCAGCCCCATCAGATCCCTCAGAGCTCTGGGTGTTAAACATTCCCACACCTGAGCAGCTGCCCCAACCTCAGCCCAACAGAGCATGAGCTGTACCGTTGAAAAACTTGATGATGTCTGTAAAATCCATGTTGTTCTCCAGGATGATGTCCCGGTACATCTCCACCAGGGCCAGGGCTATGAAGAGCACGTAGTGAGCAGAGGAGACGTGAGCAGCAGCCCAGATGGTCTCCCAGACAGCAAAGACATCATCATACACCAGCTCTGTGAGCAGAGAACAGCAGTTACCACTCCACTCCCCCCACCCAGGCTCACAGAGCTCACAGCAGCACTGGGGGGACACACTGGGTGCTTCCTTCCCACAGGAACCTGCTGCAGCTGGAAGCAGAAGTCAGTCATCTGTAGGGAGAAATATTCTGCCCAGCAGCAGGTGACAAAGGCCCCAGGACATAGTCATGGAAAAGCTCAGCAACAGGTCTGGAACAACAGGTTCTGTATCTAGACAGAACAATCAGCCAAACATAAACCAGGGAAAAATTAAAAGGAATTTTTAAAAAAGTTTAAACGTGCTGAGAAGGCTGGAAGCAGACCCTGCCCCACCCTTGGGTGCTCTCACACACCTCTCTTGAAGTCCAGGAGAAACCATCGGTAGCAGAAGTAGAAATGAGTGTAATCCCCATTCTGGTGCATCAGCTCAAAGAGCTCAGAGTCCAGAATCTGTCAAGAAAAGCAAAAGGAAGCTCAGGAATGCACACACAAGGCACCAGCCATCCCTCTGCCTACTTCCCTCCATCCCACTGCTCCCCTCCTGCACCAGCTCCTCCCTCCCTTTCCTGCACACACTGCTCCAGGCTGTCCTTAGAGCCCCTGTCCCTCCTGCTCCCCAGCACTGAACCCCACCCCAGCCCCTCCAGGACCAGCTTTCCCCCTTGGGTGTGAGGAGCTGCCATCCCCATGCCAGGAACTCACCTGGATCAGTGACCTCATGTTGGCAAAGTGGGTGTCCATGGCTCCTCCGTGGGGGAAGTTCTGGTTCATCCTCTTCATCAGCTCGGTGAAGCAGCTGAAAGCCAGAGCCTCTGTGCAGGGAGGAGAGAATCACTGCAGGGCTGCACGGCCACTGCTGCTCCTGCAGCAGCAACATCCCTCCAGAAAATCCAGCCTGGCCCCAGGGCGGGCTCCTGGGAGCCAGACAGCATCACAGGATCCTGCTCCACACCTCCAGGCACTCCACTGCAAAGGGCCACCACCCAGCTGGCACCTCCCCACACAGGGACAGAGAAAGCAGAGCCACTCACCATCATCCAGGATGACCAGGAGAGGGGCCAGCAGGTCACACATCCCCTGCACATAGCCAATCTCAATGTGCTGCCAGATGTAGCTGTGTGAGAGAGCAGGAGAGGTGACCTGGGACCTGAGTGCCACCACCTGTCACCTCCTTTGCCCATGCCCTGTCTCCCTTCCCGGGATGCTGGGGTAAATCACACCTGTAATTCTGTTATCCCTATGCTGTAAATGATTAAATTCTTGTGGTGCCTCCCAGGTAAGGCATGCATGGCACAGTCCTGGATCAACACCCTGCCATGGCCATATCCATGGGCTGTGCCACGGCCGTGCAGGGCACATCAGCACAGGGAAAAGAAAAATGGCAAAGCACAGCACAGTGGGGTCATTGGTTAAAGGGCAGAGACTGATAGAACTTGTTCATCTCTCATTCTCATCCTTCTCGCTCCATTCATCCCCTTGGTTCTCTCTGCAGACACTGCCTGCCTCCCCTTCCCATTCCCAGTGTCCCAGGAAGCACCCAGCCCTGCAGGGATATCTTCCCTTTTTTGGTAGCAAGGCAAAATGTGTTCACAGAGGACTCAGATCTGCTGCTGGCACAAGGGAAAGTTCTTTTCCATCCTGCCCACTGGTTTTCCAAAACGTGCTGTGCTGAAGGTCTAATCTCAGCAGAGATCTCCAGCTCTGGCTGTTGGGTGAAGTGACAGCACTGATGGAAAAGCAGCTTCTCCTCATGTTTGCAAGATGAGTAACAATATTTTATCCTTTGCTGCCTGTGAAGCAGCAGCTGAGCTGGAGCTGGTCTGAGCCTGAGTGTCACTAGCAAGCTCTGAGTCACAAGGGCTCAGAAATGCACCCAGGTCTGGCTCTCTCCTGGGATTTTGGGCAGGCACAAACCATTGCAGTGCTTCAGGCACTTTCTCATTAGCACCACAGCTCTGATGTGGGCTGATCCTCATTGAAACATTTTCCAGGCATGCTGCAGGAAGCAGATGGGCTGCACTGGTTCCTGGGCAGCCCAGGGAGCCCCTGCCTTGGCCAAAAGCCCAGGACACAGCAGTGATGGGGAAGGAGAGCCGGACACCTCGGTCTGGGACCCGCCACCTCCTTGGAGCTGTGACCGCAGTGCTGGGTGACGAGGGGAGGAAGGCAAGGAGCAAAACTCCATAACCACACCACAGTCTGAGGCTCCAGCCTGCAGGTGGATCCCGGGAAGGCCCCCAGAGCCCCCACCTGCACATGACGTTGCGGAGCTTCTCCAGGTTGGCGGGGGTGAAGTACCAGTAGTTGCGGTCACAGCGCTGCACGTCCTTCTCGATGCGGTGCAGGTTCACCGTGTACATGTCCAGCAGCTCTGGCTGCCCAAAACAAGAGCAGAGTTTATTTGTTTTCTAGTAAAAAGCATGGAGAGAGCTGCAAGGGCAGTGGAGAGACAGGCCAGAGCTTGGGTGGAAAGTGGGAGTTGCCCTGCGCCCAAATGCAGAATCAGCACAGGGTAAATGCAGGTAAATCCTGCCCCTCCAGTCAGCCCCAGTGAGGCACATCTGGAGTGTGGTGCTCAGTTCTGGGCTCCACAGCTCAAGAAAGACAAGGAGCTGCCAGAGAGATTATTTGGGGTCTGAAGTATCTCTCTGATGAGGAGAGACTGCAGGAGCTGGGCCTGGTCAGTCTGGAGAAGACTGAGAGGAAATCTCATAAATCCATACAAACATCTCAAATGATGTACCAAGAGGAGAGTGCCAGACTCTTTTCAGTGGTACCAAGTGACAGGACAAGGAGCAATGGCCATAAACTGAAACACAACAACATGAGGAAAAACTTCTTCCCATGCAGGGTGGCAGAGCCCTGGAACAGCTGCCCAGGAAATGCATGGAAATTCCCTCTCTGGAGACATCCCAAACCCACTGGGACACATTCCTGTGTCACCTACCCCAGAGGACCCTCCCTCGGCAGGGGATGATCTCCAGAGGGCCCTTCCCACCCCAACTGCTCTGTGGTCCTGGAGGCAGCCAGGAAGGAACCCCCCCATGCCAGGTCTGTACTTACAGAGTAGGTGACGCCCGTGGAGGAGAGAGCAGCTGGTTCACTGCTGGTCAGATCAGTCACAGTCAGAGAGTCCAGCTGTGGGTACAGACTCTCCATCTCTGGCTCCTCTGAGAGGTTGTCCTCACTCTCCACCAGGCTCTGCTTCTCAGCCTCGCTGTCTGCCCAGCTCTCCACCACAGTCAGGGCCACAGTGTCACTGTCACGCAGGAGCCCTGCCGAGCCCTCACCCATGGGGACAAAATCCACGCTGCCACCAGTGGGAAATTCACCTTCCAGGCTGTCTTGGCCCTGCAGCTTCTCCTGCTGGACACCGTCTGTGTCTGGTGGGGCTGGCAGGTCGGAGCCAGCAGCCTTTCCCTGGGAGCTGGAGGAGGATTTGGTGGTTTCCAGGGCACTGTCCTCGTTGCTGAAGCTGCGCTCCGAGAACCCCGATGTGATGGAGAAGTTTTGGGAAGAGGGGTGCCCAGAATCAGGGGAACACGTGCCGTTGGGGACTGTCCCATTGGGGATCTTGCTTTGTTTGCCATCTTCCAGCTGAGAATCTACTTCAGTCTGCTCCACCTCATCCACAGATTCAAACACCTGCAAAGTGGGAAGCATTCAGCAAATGTTTGGAACATGGGTACTGCATCCCCAAGAGCTGTGCACTCATAATGCCCAAGTTCCCAGCAGTGGAGAGGGAGGAAAATCCCTCTTTATCTTCTTCTGCCTGGATATGAGTTAGTACTTGGTCATTTGCACAACTCCAAGCCCACAAACCCCTGCTCCAAAGGACTTTGCTTGGCATTATATGCTGGCCAGAAATTTCAACAGGTGTTAAACACCCAGGCGTGAACAGAGGGAGCAGCCATGGACCTTCAGGACATCCCACTACATCCCCAAGAGCTGTGCACTCATAGTGCCCAAGTTCTCAGCAGTGGAGAGGGAGGAAAATCCCCCTTTAGCTTCTTCTCCCTGGCTTTGAATCAATGCTTGGTCATTTGCACAACTCCAAGCCCACAAACCCCTGCTCCAAAGGACTTTGCTTTGCTTGGCATTATATGCTGGCCAGAAATTTCAACAGGTGTTAAACACCCAGGCGTGAACAGAGGGAGCAGCCATGGACCTTCAGGTGTGAGGCCACAGGGCAGAGCTGGCAGGTGAACACTGAACACCCCAAGCAGAGCACAGATCTGACATGAGCAGCTCCAAAGCGGGCTGGGGATTCATTTACCTCTTCCAACATGGGTTCTGTTTGCCAGAAATCACTGTGGTTGTGGTGAGGGGTCAGCCCAAGGAAAGCAGAGCTGCGGGGACAAGGAATGGAGGGACAAGGTGCTCACCTGGGTGCTGGAGCTGGAGTCGCTCTGCAGCCGGGCGTGGTTCTGCCGGCCAGAGCTGCAGCTCTGCGAGGACTGCAGGGGACAGGGAGAAAGGCAGTGAGAAACAAAAGAAAAGAAAAGGGGTCAGGGAGAGGGAGCTCAAGCAGAGGTGGCACTTCTGCAGGTGAAGAACAAGCAGAAAATGCATCCAGTAAATATCTGACCCATGATTTTCCTGTCACATCTGTGGTGCTGCATCACCCAGCACAGTGTCCTGCCTCAGCCCCTGACACTGCTGGGGAGGTGACAAAGCCAAAGCTTTGTCAGGTCAATGCACTTGTTCAAGTGCTGTGTGTTGGGTCTGAAGGAGCTGCTTTCCTCTGGCCTGCACGAGGTCACGCTGCCTCCCTGGAGTGCGAATTTCTACAAATCTCTGTCCTAATTTGGCAGCAATGCAGCTCAGCCCAGCTCCGTTTATATAAACGATGAAGTCAGGCTATAAAACAGTCCCTCCAAGCATATTCACGCTTTTTTTCCTTTTCTTCAAGGACAAATATTGATGTTTTAAGCCAGACTCGGTGGAAGCAGCTCCTCTCAAAGTCACGAGCACTGGGTTCTGGCTTCCAGCTGAAGCACAGAGGGAAGGGCTGGGCTTTGCAGGCACCAGCCTGGCTCCGTGGGGTCCCTCTGAACAACCAGCCCACAACAAGAGCAAGTCCTCCCCATGAACTGAGCAGAGGTGCAGAGCGTGGCCATGACATCACACACAAACAATAGGATTTTAAGAAAATACAGCACATTCAGAACAGCAGTTGTCCCCACCCTTGTATTGTGGGTGTTTGCTGGGCAGGGCTCTGGTGGGGAAAGGAAGGGCGACAGTTTTCCTCCATTACCATGGGAGCACTTAAAACAGGAAATTTCAGGTTGAGATGGGAAAAGGGGGGAACTTTGCATGTGTTCACTCTGCCAGCTCCCTTCCCACGTGGGTCCAAAGGAAGAGCCACGGTGGAGATGCTGAGGGGATAGGAATAATTCCCAGAGCTTCAGCCAATGGAGCAGCATCTCTGAGAGCTGCATCATCCAGTTCCACCCTGCCCCTGGCTCCGACCTGCCTTCCCTGCATCTCTCCCTCTCTGGGCACACACGTAGCCTGCAGGACTGGGGTTGAGCTCATCTCTTTCCCAAAGCACCCACATAAACTTCCCAGAAGGAAGCAGATCAAATCTCCAGCGCTCACCTCCCCTCTGGGCCAGCAGCCTGAGGTCAGGGAATGCTCTGCCATGCTGGGCTCTTCTCCTCCGAGGACAAAACTCTCATGGAAACACTCCCTGGACTCTGTTCCCAGGGCTGCCTTTCCTTTCACAGGCTTTTCCCTCCACACCCTTTGGTTTGGGCTGTGGATCTCATTCCTCAGTGCATTGCTAAAAGCCAGTCCCAAGGTGCTGGGTGTCCCCATGGATGACACAGTGTACTGAGGGTGTGCTGAGGCTTCTTCCATGCTGGAAAAGGGAGCCAGGAGGCCCTCCTTCACAGCCCCTTAGTGCCAGGAACATGCTCTTCCTCCTCACCCCTACCTCAAACCATCTCCCATGGAGCTAATCCTGCCCCAGGAGTGCATCAGGTAAGGAGTATTTTCACTTAGACAGAACAGAGTGAACAACAAGACAGACAGGTGGGCACAGGTCAGGGGAGGAGGCTGGGCAGGACCTGTGTCTGCACCCCACAGGGACTCTGGGTGGGCACTGCCCAAGCCCTCACCTCGTTGCTGATGGTCGAGTCCCTGTGCATCATCCTCTGGATGTGGGAGTCCAGACTGGCCCCCGAGGAGCACTTGGCCAGGGCCGCGGCGTGGGACTCCTTCTCGCGCTGCCGGACGATGGCCTCGCAGCCCAGCCACTCTGCCATGGTGTGCTCGTAGCACGCCCGGGTCTGCTCGTCAGCCTGGGACACAGGGGGACAGGGGCTGGCAATGGCTGTCCCTGGAGAGCCCCAGAGCAGCCCCGGCTGTGCCCCACACAGGGCGGTGCACATCTGTGTGAATTCGCAGCACACAGCCACACTTACCCTGCACAAAACGTGGCCAAAATTTGGATGGAAAAATGCCCGTCCATCTCCTCCCTGCCCTCCCAAGGTGCACAAGGCACTGAACACGAGGAGTTGCACAGGTCAGTGACAAGCTTGGCCCTACCAATTCCTGCTGATCCAAGGGTTTGCCCCACTCCTACCTACAGCCCAGTCCAGAGTGGACAGGAGGCCCAGTAGGCTCACAGGGTGTGCTGAGGCTTCTTCCATGCTGGAAAACAGAGCCAGGAAGCCCAATGCCATGCTTCACAGCCCCTAAGTGCCAGGAACATCCTCTTCCTCCTCACCCCTACTTCAAACCATCTCCCATGGAGCTAACAGACCTCTGCTAGCAGACCCCTGCACTGGGCAGGACCAGGGCACACCAGTGAGCACCCCGGGCTGCTGAGCTGGCAGCACACCCTCACCAACCTCCTTCCTCTCTGCCTCTGTCATCCCAAACTGGTAATGGCCCAGCAGGAAGGGCCACACCGCCTTCCTGATCTCGTGCTGGATCCCGCCGTAGTAGATCAGCCGCAGCAGCTCCTGGTCCTCGTAACTCTGTGGGAAGAGCCTGGGTCAGGGCTCAGGCACAGCCAGGATGTGCAGGTGCCCCCAGCCTGGCTGTGCCACCCATCAGCACCACAGATGATGCCTCAGGTTTTAGCTTTTATGTTTTTCACATCCTGTGCTGCTTTGGTGGGCAGCTCTGAGCTTCACATTAAGGGACAGTGAGCTCTCTTCACAGAGTGTAGATTCCTTCTCTAGCTGGGGACTAAGGACAAATGATCCAAATCTCAGGCCCAAGAGCATAAAAAACATAGACTGAAGAGAGAAAAACAAGTATGGGGCTTCATGGGCTAAAGATATAATTGGACAATTAGCTCCAATATGCAAATGGAGCAGAACTTATAAAAGTGAGAGACCCTGTAACTGGTCATGCATTTTGTGACCATTTTGGCTCATCTTGGGTGTAGCCTTGGCTGGGCTCTTGTGCTGCCCAAGGTGGACCCATTGAAGCCTTCTAATAAATACCTACTTTATTTTTTAACTCTGTCTCATCTCTGTGTTAGAGAGCCCCCAGCCTCACTGCCTGTGATCCCTCAGACCCCAGCCTGGGCTTAAGCAGAGTTAGAGGCTGCTGTGGGTGGACATTTTGGCTCTCCACACCAAAGAGTGGCCCAAAAAGTCACCAAAGCACCACTGCTGTGCCCCTGAGCTGGCAGCACGTCAGGACCCCACTCAGGACAGCAGCAGCTGGGTGACAGACACTGCTGCAGGCAGGCTCTGAGCAGAAGCACTTGCAGAAGAGCAGTGCTCACTCCTCAGCTCTCACATGCCAAGGATTAGGAGCCTCAGGCTCCGTGCAGCCTGGGACAGCCTGGCTGACTTCCCTCCTTGAGGAACTTCTTGACGTGTTTCACCACCTCCCCGTGCTACACCCACTTCAGTGACACAGCCCCGGGCACCACCTCCCCGTGCTACACCCACTTCAGTGACACTGCCCCGGGCTCCCCGAGCCCAGCAGAGCTGGTGTGTCCCCAGGGATGGCCCTACCGAGCTGTCCTGCAGGTATCTGTGCCAGATGTCCACGGTGAGCCCCGCGCTGGCGCTGCAGGGGACATCAGGGGACACGATGTTGTGGTTCACCAGCGCCGACAGGTGGGTCCTCACCGTGGACAGGTGTCTGCAGTAGGCCAGCCCTGCAGCAGGAACACCCCACCTTCAGCTGTGGAACTCCAGGAAACACGAGGATGAAGAGCAGGAGAAAGCTCTGGTCTCCTGGGGGAGATTCCCTGCAGCCACATCCAGCCCTCGGAGCAGGGAGTCTCCAGGGACAGGTCCCTCATCTTGTACCCCAGTGCTGCTGCTCACGGGGCTCAAGGCTGACAGTCAGAGCCCAGCTGTTTGCTCCCCACCCTGAGCACGTGCAGCAGGCTGGTCCCAGCTCCCCCAGCACCACTCCCAGCCCAGGACCTCACCCCTTCTCCTGTCACACATCCCAAGGCAGCAGCGGGGTGACAAGTACTCACATCCATAGAAGGCCCGGGACAGGATCTGGTACTTCATGTTGTCACACAGCAGCTTCAGTGGAGCTCTGCCAACAGAAACACAGAGGATGTGAGGGGGAGAAGATGCTCCTGTGCATCCCCTCAGCCTGGCTTTGATCCCACTGATCCAGCTTTGCCTGCAGAGATTCACCAGGGTTCAGAGCAGCAATTCCTGCTGCCAGGCTTGGAGCAGCCGAGATATCCCAGATGCAGGGACAAGCCTCGCCTCAGCCACATCCCAGTGACCCTGCCATGGCTCCTGGGCACTGAGCCCTGGCTCTGCTGTGCCCCTGTGCCCTCGTACCTCTCGTGGCTGCAGCCATTGGCCGGGCCCCCGTCGGAGGAGCCGCTCTGGGAGCAGGAGGAGCAGGAGGATTTGCGGGTGCTGGGCTGCCACATGGGGGGCAGGACAGCCCCTGGAGCGTCCATCAGGTCCTGGGGCACTGCAGGAGGGCAGAGAGGAGCATCAGCTAGAGCCTGGCACTGCCCTGCAGTCAGGGAGCTGCAGAGAGAGCTTTCATTGGCAAACGCAGCATCCCACTCTTGCCAAGGAGGCTCCAGCCACCAAGCAGGGGTCACCACAGGGAATCACAGCACTGATGAGCTCAGGAGAAAGGAAAGGGAACAAAGAGCACTGATGAGAGAGAACCATTGCTAGTTAACCAGCTAATTCAGAAAGCTGATCTTAAACTGCTTCGTGCTGACCAAGGCAGAAACCCAACACCCAACGCAGAGGCTCCAGAGAGAAAACAGGATTGAAATCAGCTGCTGCCCCAGGAAGAGTGGATTACTGGAAGGGAAAGGCCCATCCCTCGAAGGATCCCATCCAAAGTTCAGGGAAAGAAGGGAGCATCCAAATCTCAAGAGAGGAGAAGAAGACTTGGATGAAGAGGTTGAGAGGGACAGCAGGAGCTCTGCATGCTGTCACTTGTTAATCCCTGCTTAAACTCAAAGTGCTGCTGCAAAGGCCTCGGGTCCTGCTCAAATACCACCCACACACAGCCCAGGCCATGAAGAATAATCCTTTTTACTCCTCTTTGGAAATTAAATTGTGGTAGAAATTTCATCTTCTGGCTGGGCAAAGGTGTCCTCGCTCTCCCTTGGTCTCCCTGGCTCTCCCTGCTTGTGATAAGGAATAAATTACATCAACAGGAAAAATACTGAATTATTCCCACAGAAGTCTCTTTCCCTCCCACTGAGGGAGGGACAGTCAGTGGTGACAGGGACAGCTCTGCAGGAGCTCTCAAGTGACAACACAGGTGAGCTGAGCACCAGACCCGACCAGCAGCTCATTACACTGATGCCCAGAGGTGCCCAGAGCAGCACGGAGAGCTCGGGATCTGCCAGGGAGACTCAGACACCACTTGGGGATCACCACCATCTTGCTTCCAGCTGGAATCTTCATGATCTTCCCTCTCCCAGCAGTCACAGGTGCAAGGAATGGGTGAAAAGCACCATTAATGGCAACTAGAGACACAGAGAGAGGACAAAGGCACCAGTGAAAGGGGAGAAAGGAAGAATCCGTGGAGAAGAGAGAATGATGCAGTTCCACCCCTGGCTGAGGAGGTGCACAGGGAACAGCACAGGCTGTGATGATGCCAGATGAGGAGGTGGCAGCAATTCATTTCCCAGAAAATGTGGCCCCCAGCATAGAATTTTAAGGGGGAGATCAAAAGGCAGCCACAGAAAGGCACATCTCTATCTGCTGTTTTAGCTCCAATCAGGTTTTTATCTGACTCACTGAATTATGTTAGTCAGCTGAAGGCAGAGAGAACCAAGTATAATCTCAACTGACGTTATGGAGGAGTCACAGCGGATGTCATTTCTCCCTCATAGCCTCCAAAAAGTAGGAAAAAGGCTCCCATCCGAATTTCAGAGCTTTTTTAACAAACACTCCACAATTCTTCCATCTAAAACTCATTCTCTCCCCCTTCTAAAGTCACCTATGATGTCCCCAGAGGTCAGAAAACAGTCCCTGGCACCTCACAGAAGAGTGAGGAGATATGTACAGACATTTCAGCCAGGTTCAGATCATTCACCACCAGACATGAAGAGGCATTTCTGCTTTGGAGAATCCAGCAGCATCCCCTCCCTCGAGTTAGGGACTGAAGGCAGGTGGGTGCAGCCTGGCAGCACCCAGGGCAGGGTGCTGGGACCTCCCCTTTGTGCTGCAGGAGCCATGCTGAAGGAACATCAGTGGATTTAGTGCAGCCTGGGGGCAGCAAGGGAAGAATCATCCCTGGGGGCTTGTGATGGCAGAAGGTGGCCCCCAAGTGACCAAAGTGAACCTTTTTACTGATATTATGTGGGTGTTATTAAGAGGGGGTTTTGCTGACCATTAGTGCTGTTGTGTAGCTGCAGAAACAAAGGACTCAGTAGTAAGTGGAAGTTAAAACAAAACAAAAAAAAACCAAACAAAAAAATACCAAAAAAACCAAACAAACAAACAAAAAAAAACCCCACAAAACCAAAATATAGAATCATGGAATGATTGGGTTGGAAGGGAGTTTAGAGATCATTTAGTTCCACCCCTTGCCATGGGCAGGGACACCTTCCACTATCCCAGGTAGCTCCAAGCCCCTTCCAGCCTGGCCTTGGAGCCTTCCAGGGATGGGGCAGCCACACCTGGCTGTTCTCTGTGCCAGGGCCTCCCACCCTCCCAGGGGGGAATGATGACATTTCCATCAGGCAGCATTGGCACAAGCAGAGCCCCTCCCCTGGAACCACCTCCCAGTTTGCCCCGTGCCCATCAGCGCCATGTCCCAGCTCCTCCAACCCCCCCAAAGGCTGCCCTGCACTCACCAAACTCCGTCTGTGTCCCGGGGTAGATGATCCTGAAGACATAATCCGTGGCTTCATCATCTTCCTTGTCGGACGCGGACTCCGAGGAGCCCTGGGGGCTTCTCTTCTTCAGTTTGGGGAACACCTTTCCCTGGGGAGCACAACCTGCCCTTCACCAGCCACCCATGTCCAACCACGCCCCTCCCAAGCTCCTGCTTTGCCATGTCTGCACATTCCCTGGGCTGGAGCAGCCCCTGGACCAAGTTTCCAGTGGCAGGTGAATCCCTGGCCCTGCTGGGCACAGGGTAGGTACAGCCCAGCGAGCCAAACCCTCATGGGCAGCCCTCCCCCAGCTTTCTAGAAGGGTCTGTTTAGCTGGGCAAGGCCATGAGCTAAACCCAAACACCACATTTTAATATTAATTAATTGAATGTATTAATTTGGGGAGGGGATGATTTAAAACACAGCAGCTGCTAATGCCAGGCAGAGGGTCCACAGGGGAACCCCAGCAGGAACAGGCACCCACCTTTCCCCGCTGTGACCAGAGGGGTGGATCCAGCTGCCCGTGGGGCAGGAGGCCATTCTCCAGGCAGGACAGGAACTGCAGCAAGTGTCCTCCACGGGGGAAGCGCAGGGGTGGCCTCTGGATGCCATCCTGGCTCACCAGGACAACCGTGCCACCACTGTCTACTGCTGGCAACAGGGAGAGCAGACACAGCCATCAGTGGGGGAAACAGCGCAGGCAGGAGAGCTCAGGGAATGGAAAATAAAGACTTTCTTCCTTGTGTGGATTCTCCTCTAAGTCCATGACAAGACAGGCTTGCTGGGATCACCCCCTTGGAAATCAGAGCCCTGCTCTGCAGGGAGCACTCCCAGCCAAGCACCACAGCCAGGAGCTGGGGAAAGACTTTTCTAGAAGCACTTAAATCACAGTGACCACCCAGAACTCTGGGGAACTGCCCTGGAACTGCCCTGAAGCCCTGGAGAACCACGTCCCAGAGGTGAGGGATGAAGAGCCAGGTGTCACAGCCCCCAGCAGCCCCAGCTGTGGCCTTACCCTGCTGGTGACAGTGCAGGTACACGATCTCCTCCAGGCGAATGGTCATGGCATAGTCCCAGTACACGCTGGAACAGAGGGACAGGGAAGCTGTGAGCCTCGAGGGTGTGAGAGGCTCTGCTGCTGCTCACAGCAGCTCCAAACCCTGCTCCTCATCCCCTGGCAGCAGCCAAAGCCACAGAAAGGATGAGATCCCAGAGCAGTGATGCCAGCCTGATGAGTGACAACATGCCTCCAGAGCCAGGAACTGTCCCTGCCACCTCAGCTCAGCCAGGGCCAGTCCTGTCCCACCTGCCCTGGGTGGTTTCTCTGCCCTCACACTGTTCCCAGGCACAGAAAATGAGTCCGTGGATCCTGGCAACTGCAGGGAGGGACTGGAGCCCTGCAGAGCTGAGCACTCTCCTCTGAGCAGCCCAAGAATCCTTCAGGAGCAGCCCTGGAGCCCCAAGGAAAAGGGCAGAGAGAAATGAGGAAATGTGCTGCTGCTCTGCCCCAGGGAGGGGAAAAAACCCCTCACAATTTGTGGGGATTTTTCAGAGCTCACAACAGATTTGGTCTCAGCTGCTTCTGTTCAAGAACTGTCTCAGCACAGGCAGCTCGAGGTGTCTGAGCAGATCTAGAACATGCTGGAGAGCTGGTGGCCACCAGACAGAGCAGACAGGCAGGGTTTCATTCCTGTGGAGAGCCCAGCACTGCTGTCCAAGAGTGTCAGCACTCAATCACATCCCACTTCTTTGCAACAAAGCAAATCTCCAGATTCTCAGCAGCAGCAGCATCTGCCACTTTGTAAAAATAGTGCTTAAATAACATTAAAAACAGCTCGTGAAGGACAGGAAGGTGTGCAAGAGTGACTCCTTGTACAGTCATACTTACTGTGCCATCTGCCTCCTCTCTTCCTTGGTCACATCTCGACACTGGGAATTTTTAGAGCTTAGGCTGATGCCCAAGGCAAGAACTCAGAAAAGGAGTGTAGAGATGAAAACATATTTTAGGGGAGGGTACCAGGCACAACTGAATGACTCAGGGGCCAAGAAGAAAGGGGAGATGGAAAGTACACAGGTAAACAAAAAACTACAACTGACAATGAATGAAACTAGGACCAAGTTTTGCTGAGGATCTCTAGGTCAAAGCGTCAGTGTCCTAAACACTCCCACCTTCCTGGAGCCAGGAGAAACCTGGGAGCACAGTGTGCTGGGAGGGAGGGAGGGCATTCCCCTCAGAAAATCCCCCAGGGCAACCAACAAAACCACTTTGTGTGTTTTGGAACAAGCCCCACTCCCTCTCTGAGCACTTCCCAGCAGAGACACATCTCACACCACCTCCTGCCACCCTCTCCCTGCCTCCTTCCCATTACAGGCTCAAGGATGATGGTTTTGCTCTGGGAAAAGTGATGGCTTTGCATCCCAGATGCAAACTCTGACCCAGGGGAACACTTCCCCCCCTGCCCTGGCACACTCAGAGCCAGTCACCTCTTCTCATAGTCCAGGTCCCCCACGGAGCCGTTCATCAGCTGGTTGGGGGTCCACTTCAGTGCCATGATGTCAGCAGTCTGGTGAAGGGACAGATACCCCGGGATTGCCTCCATGTCATCTCGCTTGGGAGGAGAAACACAGTGACACACTGAGCTGGAAGAAGCACAAAGCCCTGGAGCCCAGTTGTGGCCCCTCACACATCCCTGCCCACCCAGTCACAAACAGGGAGGAACCCACTGTGTCCCTGGAAAACCTCCTAGCAGAGACTCCAGGACACCTCAAGGCCTTGGAAAAGATGCCTTTTTAGGCATCAGTTTGCAGTTTGCACTTCATTTATTTGACTGCAAGAAGCAGGAGGGGACAGGAGAAGAAGTTTTGTGGTAAAGAATGGGCAGGGAGAGGAGCCTGTGCTTCCCAGGCTAGAGCAGAGCTCCTCCATCCCACTGGGAGGATTCATATCATAATGACCTCCACAAACACAATCCACTCACTGCCTCCCCAGATGGAAAATGTGCTTTCTCCATCCAAGAGCAGCTTGGAACAGAACAAGGTGCTGATGGGCAGAGCAGTTTCCAAGCCCAGGTTCCCAGCAGAACTCACCGGCTGCACCAGGACGTTGTTCTTGCCGTACAGGAGTGTGGCTCGGGAGTTCTGGTGCAGGGACTCCACGTAGTCCCTGGCAGACAGGGAGGGCCTGTCATCCATGCTGCCACTGGAATGTCTTTTCTGAATCTGCAAGAGATGCACTCACAAATGTGAGGTGAGCACAGACACCTCTGGCTTCCCAAAAGCTTCTCTTGAACATCATTCCCTCCTCACTTATGACAGTCACTACTAGAAATCTTTCCCTCGGGGGCCTCTAAGGGGATTCCTGACTCTGTCCAAGCTCAGAAAGCGTCAGGAGTGACTTTTTTTTTCTGCAATGCACAGAGCAGATTCAGCTTTCTGCTCATACATGATGATCTCAGGGACACAGACCCCGGCATGCAGTGCCAGGAGGGGCTGGCACACCAGTGCTCTCCATGGGCCACATTCCCAGCACATCTGCCTCAAAGACTTCCCTCTTCAGAAGGCTCCACAGACCTTTCCAAGCAAAGGGAGCCCAGATGCTCAGAGAGGTTTATCCCCCACTCACGCAGAGCGCCGGGCGCTTGGTGGGCGAGTCCTGGCGGCAGTGGGAGCTGTGGATCCTGTGCCTCTGGACCAGCTCATCTGCAGAGGGATCTGTCCAGAAGTGGTCAGCAGTCTTCATCTTGGTGTATTCCAGTGCACAGGGCCCCACTGTGGAGAGGAACACCCCAAACATAAGGGAGCCATCCTTGATCCCACGGTCACCTCCCGCATCTGCAGATCACAGATTTGGGAGCATGGGTTTGGAAAGCAAGGAGGGAAAGCAAGTAAAGCAAGTGTTACCCAATAAAGATGCTAGAATTGGCCCATCCACGGGATCCATCAGGAGAGCTTCCTTCTCATAGTACTTACTAGAAGAAATAAAGGACAGCAGAATGCTGGAGCATGGCAGAATTATAGACAGTGGTTTAAATCCCCATCCTGCCCTTCTCTTTCTGTATCACTCCTTGATAGGGAGAGGGCAAGAAGCCCTAAACAGTCTGAGAAATTCCTGGGGAGCAGCAACCCTCCTGCAGCACATTGCAAGCACATCACCATCTCCTAACTAACCTGTCCCAGCACAGGACACCTGAGCAGGCAGATCCCAGAAGACAAGGACAATGCAGCCCTGACAGCCCAGCCATCACCAGGGCCAGTGTGGCCTGTCTGTATTTCAGGGAGTGCACAGTGGTCACCAGCAGCAGGGCATCCATCAGAGATCCCAGGATGGGCACTGAGTGACACACCTGGCCTGTGCCATGCAGGGATTTCCCTGGCCCACATGGATACAGGTATTTCCAGCCAGCAACGCCCCCAGTGCCACGGGCAGGACATGGGTGGGCTGTGCCAGTGCTCACCTGCTGTTCTCCACCAGGTAGTGCACGATTTTATCCAGGACCTTCTCGAAGAGGGCTGTGCGGATCCAGAGGTGCTTGATGGCCTGAGGAGACAGGTTGGGCAGCTTCGGCACCTTGCGCACGTTCTCCGGGACCCCCTGGGCTTGGTTTCTCCTTCAGAGGTACAAGACAAGAGACAACAACGCCACAGGCTCACCCCTGAACTCTGAGGGAGCCCAGGGCACTCCTGCCACCAGGGGTTTGGGGGTGTTGACCGTGCTGGCTGGGGGATCCCAGGGAATTGTCTGGGACAACTCTGGAGCTGTTCCCTGTGCCTGTCCCATCCCCTGCTCCAGAGGGGCCACACCTGCATTTGAAGCCAGACGCCACCAAATCTTTACGCCACCCCACTGTAAAGACAACCCCAGAACTCTGCTCTCCCTCAGCACAGTCCTCCAGCCCACACACATTTCCACGGCTGAGCTCACACGCAGAGCAGCTCATCTTAGGACAGCTTAAAATTCCTGCCCGCAGGTCGCTGCTCTATCCATCTCCCTGCTAATTGTCCAAGGATGAGTAATCCTCTCCCAAACAGCAGCTGAATTACTGCAGGTTCGAGCTCTGCACACTGGGACAGTGGTTCCAGCTGGCTTGGTGAACTGCTCCATAAACTGTGACAGCTCAGCAGCAGCGTGCTCAGCTGTCCCTGAAGCACCAGAGCAGAGGCAGAGAGACTTAGAACTTGTCCACCCTGCTTAAACCACAACCACAACTCAGTCTCCTAGAACAGCAACCAGTTTGGTCAAGACATAAAAAACCCAGGAGAAGACTGAGGGAGCAATTGCTCCTGCCGAGGCTCAAGTTGGACCCAAACCACACATCCCACCCCGAAACCCGAGTGAGCAGAGAGGACTGGCAGCCACGCTGGTGCCTTACGCGTTCTCAATGAGCTGCTCCAGGTCCTGCACCTTCCTGCAGAGCTCCTCTGCCAGGGGGAAGCTCTTGCCCACCTTCATGAAGAGCGCTGCGATCTTGTTGCTGCGCAGGAACCCGGCCGCCCTCCGCTTCAGCCCGAAGAGCACACAGCATTCCACGGCGGCTGCAGAGAGCACAGGCCTCAGCAACAGCATATCCCCAGCTGGAAGGACCCACAGGGGTCACCCAGTCCAGCTCTTTGAGGGATTCCATCAATGGAACACACATTTGTTAGCACCACGCAATCTTGGCTTTAGCAGCACCATGCTCCACCCAACTGAGCCAACCTTGGGTCACTGGAGCACCTTCCCTATGAGTCAGGTGGGGCTGTTCAGCCTGGGGAAGAGAAGGTTGTGTGGAGACCTCACAGCACCCCCAGGATCTGAGGGGATTACAAGGAATCCAGAAAGGGACTGTTCATCAGGACCCCTCCTACCAGAACAGGTTGCTCTAAGCCTCATCCAACCTATCCTTGAACACTTCCACGGATGGAAGCTCCCAAAACTCCTCAGACAATAAATCTGAAGCAGACATCCCCACCTTGGCTTCAGGAAATTGTAATCCCATCCCATATGGGAATTAACAACAAGCACCACAGCTTCCCCAGGCAGGGCAATTGCTGTGCCGGGCAAACAGGCTGACATTCTCCTTTTTGTGGGTTTGTTTTTTTGTGGTTTCTTGTGGATTGTGGAGAAACCAGCATCTCCCTGATGTTTTCCCTTCAGCCCAGTCTGAGGGATGGGCACAGCTGGAACAGGAGGTTTCACTCCCTGTGCTGGGATGGTGCAGGTCAGGAGGAGAAAGCTCAGGAGCAAGGACAGGCAGCCTGAGGGTTTCTAAAGCAGCACAGGAAATGGGGCAATTTTCCCCAAAAAATCTCAATGTTCATATAAATATTTCTCTGAAAAGCTGAAAGGAACAAAGACCCTGGGGATAAACCACAGGCAGTGCCAGCAGCTCAGTCTGGCTTTGGGGACTCTGTTGGCACTCGGGGACACAGGGACTCATTAAGCCCCTGTGGAAGGCAGTGCCTGACTCCACGTCCTGAACTCTGCCCAGAGGCACTCACCAAACCCCAGTGAGTGCCCAGACAGCCCCAGACACCTTCCTGCCCTGCCAGGGTGAGCAGGGATCCCAGGAACCAGCAATGACTCCACAGAAAGGCACAGACAGGCTCAGCCAGCAGCTCCTTCCCAAAGCCCCCTGGCAGGGCTCAGGATGGACGTCTGGTGCCAAACACAGACTGATTAAACAGGCTGATCAAAGCACTGGAAAATCACACGGACCCAAGTCCTCAGGCCCTTGATCCAGGTCTGACAAGGAGTTCTGCTCCCTGCTCCTGGGGAAGCCAGCGCTGCTGAGCTGAGCCTGGATGCTGCTTCCCTTCCTGCCTGGAAAGGCACACTTCCCTACAGCTGAACAGCTCCATGGAGACACAGAGAAAGGCATTCTGTGCAGCCCCATCTCAGCAGCTCCCAGGCTGGGAGAGGCTCATTATCCTGCCCTGATCATGCCTGAGCTCGGTGCCCAGCAGCAGCATGTGAGGGGTGGTGAGACACAGCCTGTGCTGGCAGAACAGATTTGGGCCCCCAGCAGCCAGGCAGAGCCACTGCATGGACACCTGGCTATGAAACCAGGCCCTGCACAAGCCCCCTCAAAGCCCAAAGGGCTTCAGCTGCCCCAGGATTATAGGCAGCTTCAAATAAAATAAAATCCAAACTGCTCCATGGCTTTGTCCTACGCTCCGTGGCTGAAATACAAGTGACAAACAGCCCCACGTGCCTGGGACTGCACCCAGGGGTGCCCATTTGGAGTGCCCAGCTCAGGCTGGTGCTGAAAGCTCAGGTACCCACAGGGGGTGAGCAGCCAGGGATGCTCCTGCTGCAATCCCAAGAAAGGGAGCTCCCAGTGCCACCAGTTCCATTCCAAATTCCCAGCAAACAGGAGCACTGGGGCTCTCACTGTGTTCAGGTCACAGGCAGCACATCCCAGCTCCTGCCAGGCAGGGAGAAATCCCAGCTCCTGCCAGGCCTCTGGCACAGAGCATCCAGAGCTGTCAGCAGCATCTGCTCCCAATGCCAGATCTGAACCCATGCAAAACACCTCTCCTGCTGGCAAACGACAGGGAAATGTGCAGCTTCCACAGGAAAACCTCTCCCCATGCTCTACTAAATCCAGGGGTGATGGCAGGATTTTTAAATAGGATGAGTTATGGAGCTCACTTTTGTCACCACTGCAAAGAGATTCTCCTCATCCCCCAGGATGTAACTTCCAGCAGAGCCAGGATATTCAGGATATCATCTACAGCAGATGCACATGGTGCAGGAGCCCTGCTCAGCTACCCCCAGCTAAGGGGCAGCTTTGACTCCTGCCAAAAGACTGAAATATTCCTGAGCTGCCCAGAGCTCTGCCATGATCCAAACCCCTCGGGCTGAGCAGCCTTGGCTGGCGTGGACACCAAACCCTGGGCTCCCCATCAGCCTCCCAGGGCAGCCTGGACGTGACAGATGCCAGCTCGTGTTTGTCTGCTCCAAACCCCCCCTCAGAGCTGCCCTTCCCTGCCAGACCACTGCTCCATCCCCAGGGGTCTGTGCTGCACAGAGGGCTCTGCTGGGAAGGCAGCTCTCTCCAGGGAAAAGGGCAGCTCTGGCAGCCAGAGCCAGGCTTGCAGCACGCTCTGCTTGGCAGGCAAAGAGGTTATTTATAAGCTCACCCAGCTCCTGGAGAGCCACAGCACTGGGGAAGGTGAAGGAAGCATTCCAGTGAGAGGAACAGCAGATGGAGCAGGAGGGGTTCGCCAGGAACCAGGGGGATGCAGCAGCATCTTAAGAGGCCAGAAGGAACCAAGGAGCCCTTCGTGCCTGGATGCCTCAGCTCCCTGTCACAGGAGCCTATAAATAATGCCAGTTTGAGAAGCCTCGTGCTGCACAGAAAAGCAGGGAATGAGTCACACCTGGAGGTCTGCTCTGCTCTCTCAGGGGCCACGGGCTGGGAACAGGCTCCTGAGAGTCTTTGATGTGAGGGCCCAGCAGGAAAGGAGAAAGCCCAGCCTCCTTTCCATAAACTCCTATTCCATAACAGCAAAGAAAAGATTTGGACTTGACAGACTTTCAGTCGGATTAATTCTCAAGGGAATTTAAAAATAAAATATTGTTTCTAGCCCTTCCTCCATGGCTGCACACACTGCCAGCACCCCTCCCTCTTTTGACACATCCCTGTATATTTTAAGCACAAAGACCTCAGGGACTCCGACCTCTGCCAGAAGAATCCATCCCCTGGCACTCCCCACTCCCCCAGCCCAAGTTCCTGGAGCTGGAGAGTGTTCCCAGGAGTGGCACAGCACCAAAAGCCCCAGTCCAGACTCACCACAAAAGGAGATGATGTGGCTGCTGTCCTCATGCACAAACTTCCTCGTCACTGCCTCCTCCATGATCTGCTTCACCTGCAGGACAGAGGCAGTCAGGGAAAACATGGAATTTCAGCCATGGACCTGCGGTGGGGTGGGTGCACAGGAGCCTCCTCTGCTCCCAGGTTTTCCCAGTGGCACAGGAGAGCTCACAGAGGATTGGTGCAGCTCTGCCTGCTGAGCATCACCAGCCACTTCAAAAAGCCAGGTATGAAAAAAGGGTTGTTTCATTTCTGAGAAACTTCACAGTAGGAAAACGGTGAGCTGAGGATTAACTGAGGGAATGGAGCATCACTTAGATAAACCCATCTAATAAAGGCACCCAAATCTCACATTTAAGGTTTTTACAGCATTGTTCTGTTCTCTCATTTTGTTTGACAAATTTCCTGTGACACGGCTGTCCCAAATGACTGCAACTCTCCATCAATGCCTAATTCAGTGATCACCTGGCACCAGCTGTGCCCAGGAATTCCATTTGCATGGCAGTGCCAGCAGCTCTGCCCTCTCTGGCTCACAAGTGGCACTCAGCTGATCCAGAGGAAGCTGTCACTTAGTGCTCATCAGGGGCACGATTAGGGGACAAAAACAGACAGGACCCCACACAAACTAGGAGGGCAATTGCTGCAGGGAGCAGACAGGAGGTCAGAGCCAGCAGGTCAGGTCTGGCAGCAGAGTGGTGACTTCCATCCCCAGCTGTCACTCTCCCTAATCCTGCTGCAAGCAGCCAAAGCCCAGCTGAAGCTTTGCTCCTTAAACATTCACTTCCCAACCACTTTTCCTTTCAAACACAGCTGCCAGCATGCCTGGATCTCATCTTCCAGTGCCTCTGTAACATCTTGGTTTGGGAAAACACAGGGGGAAGTGTTGCCAGCATGGAGCCAGGGTGTGAAGGAAGCTCTGCTTTGCAAGGTGCTCTCCCTGAGGGCACAGGGAGGAGGCAACCACTGCAGGTCAAGACTTGGCCAAGCAAACCTTGGCACGAATGAGAGACCTTTAATGGCATCATTTGGGGAATTAAACTCCTCTGCAAGGTGTAATCAAGGTCAGTTATGCACAGATGACAGCTCCATAAAGGAAATCCTGAACATGGATTAAGAGCAGAGTCTCTGAGCCAAGAGCTGCTCTGCCAGGTGAGATCCCAGCCCTGCTCCCTGCTCGGTGACTGACAGAGCCCTGAGCCTTCCCTGCATGCCAGCAGCTCGGATGAGCTGCTACTGAGTCAGGAAGTCACAGCAAGGAATGTCACTGGGATGTGGAACTGGGACTGGAGGTGCCTCAGAGCGCTGGGAAATTCCAGCCCTGTGCTCAGAGCAGTGACTGCACTGCATGAACACCCCAGGGACCAGGATAAAGCTCCATCTTCCACCTCGGTGCTTTATTGTGTCCTAAAACTGCAGCTGTCCCTGGCCAGGGCACCTCCTGGTGCTCCTTCCTTCCTCACCCCCCGCCTGCAGCTTCCCCCTTGTCCCACGCTGGGCACCAGGGAAGGGGCAGCTGCAACCCTCACTCCTTGCTCCAGCACCATTTTATTTCACATTTCAGCCACAAAAACAGGGACAGAGCCAGTCCCAGCAGAGAGGAGAGGAGCCTCTGTCTCCCACACAGCCCCAGGCTTGGCTGCAGGGTGGAGCAGGGATGGGGAGCAGCACACACCTCGTGTTCTCCACCACGTGCTGCCCAGAGCTGCCCCTTTCCCTCCACCTGGAATGCCCACCACAGATATTCTGGCATCCTGCCCAGCCCAGCACCATCCCTGACCACCCCTGGGTGGTGTAGGGAGGTTCACATCTTGGGGCCCTCAGGGATTCCCTGGAATTTGGCTGAGCCACCCTGGTCCAGATGGCTGCTGACCCTCGCCCAGGCAGGCTGAGCTTCCTCAGGCAGCAGGACTCAGCCCTCCTCTCTCACACATCCAACTGATCTCCCAGAAAATGACCACACACAGATATTCAATGTACACCCATGGCAGCACTGGTGCTATCAGGATTTTACTCCCCCACCTCCACAAAACACACCTGAAAATCAACGTGCAGAGTCTTTACCAGCTCCTGAGTCAATCAGGAAATATTCCAACATAAGCAGCATATTCAAATATTTGAAATTTCAGTACATTGACAATGCCTGCAGTGCCTCAGGCCACGGGGCCTTCCCCAGGGCAGTGACCATCTGTCTGTCCAGGCCTGGGGACCATCCAGGACAGCAGGACCCGGCTCTGAGTGGGCATTTCAGTGCCAACACTGCATAAACCACCTGCACGCTCCAGGCACAAACAAAACACCTTCCAGGAGACACAGTTTAGTGGAAAATTACTCATTAAAAGTAAAAAAAAAAAAATAAATTAATTGCACTGAGTTGTAACACTAAAAATAAACCAAGTCTAAAGGACTGGAAGTGGAAAGGGCAACAAGGGCACTCACCTGGTGTGTGACAAACACAAACACCAGACAGACAGACAGACAGACAGACAGACATGGCCTTGTAACACAAAACAAGGGATATCTGGAATGGTTTGGGTGGGAAAGAACTTAAATTTCATCCCATTCCACCCCCTGCAGTGCAGGGACAGCTTCCCCTACCCCAGGCTGCTCCAAGCCCCATCCAAGCTGGCCTTGGGCACTCCCAGGGAACAGAATCAACACTTCCAGGGAATGGAGCCAGGAGATCCCAACCTCCTCTACCTACCAAGAAAGTTTTCCAACAAAACCATCCTACATTTGCCCAAACAGACACATCTGTAGGACAGCTCAGAGCCAGAGAAGCCCAAAACTCCTGACAGATGCTCTGTCTGCAGACCCCAAAGGACTCTCCCACCACAGCTGGGATCTGCCAGGGGATTTGTGACACCCTGGGGACAGGAACGTGGCTCAGGCACACTTGGCTCCCTGCACAGAGAAGACTGGAGCAGCCTCTGAGTGTGCTGCATTTTGATGCTAATTCTCAGACTGCAGCCAGAACAATCCCAACAGATGAAGCTGCCCACTCTGGATCTCATGCCAGCCTAGGGAAATGAGATGTTTGCTCTTCTTTTATTAGAAAGGAAATTAAAACAGCAACTAATAATTTTGCTGTAGGTAAACTCGAGAGGAATAGCATCAAGTATTCCACAACAGCACCAACAGCCCCCCTGGCTCCAGCTGGGAGCACAGGACAAGAAAAATCAAACCCTCACCTGTCCAACAACCCCAGGGAGGGATGAAGGATGAAGGCTTAGACCTCTCTGCTACAAAATTCCCAGGGATATGCATCACCCAAAGTCCAGCTTTGCTGTCAGCCAGCCCTGCTGTCATTTACACTGCTGGAACAAGCCAAATGTTATCACAGCCACTGCCACCACCGAGGTGCAGGGACCAGGAGCACACCAAGAACTGCAGCTTTCATCAGTCCAAGGCAATATTGACTCTCAACTGTTGTGCCTGGTCAGATTTTTCCCTACAGAAGCTGTACTCTGGATCATTTGCAGTCCATTTTCCTGCCTCTTGCAAAGCCTTTCAGTGGTTATTAGGGCATTTCTGTGGAAGCACAGCACCTCCTGTCTACTTGGCCATGCTCACAACTCTGTGAAATTGTTTACAGCAAGCCAGATGCAAACAGAGTCCCCAGGGAGATCCTTTTCCCAGTCCTGTTCCAGGGTCAAGCTCGCTCACGCTGCCACAGGCTGAGGGCAGCTGTGGGGATGCTCCTGACCACCAGATCCAGGAATGGGCCTGGCTGCCATATCCAGCACCAAAAAAACACTTGGATGGGCAAAAAATGTGGCACAGCAGCCACACACTGGAGCCAAAGCAGTGGGAGAGCATCCCATCCCAAACCCAAAGGATTTACAGCAAAAAATAGAGATGGAGATGACTGAGATGAAGATGAGGATGGAGATGAGGAGGGAGATGAGGAGGGAGATGTCTCCTGTCTCCTCTCCCTCTGAACATCCACCCAGGGTGTCAGATCAGGTGGATGAGATGCTGCAGGACCAGAGCCAGGAAGCTGCACTGCCTGCACCCCCTCTGAACCATGGAATTCATCACAGAACCATGGAATTGTTTAGGCTGGAACAGACCTCCAAGATCACTGAGCCCAACCACTCACCCAGCACTCCCAGGTTCACAGTTCCTCTTCAATCCACCTGGCCCAGGAGAACCAGCAAGCCCTCAAAAGCCATCAAACAAAGAACAAAATAATTTTTAAAAACCCCCAAACCACCCAACCCATTGATGAAAGAGGCTTTAAGCTTGATTTGCTTTTGTACATTTGCTTTTCCAATTCCTTTCCAAGCTGGAGCTTTTTCATTCTCATCAGCGTTCTCATCACTGCTTTGATAATGTGTTTGAAGTTAATTCTTGCACTTAAAAAATCCAATTTTCCTTGTCAGTTTTGGTGCAATGAGTGCATTTGGGAATTCCCTGCTGTGGTCTGAGCTCTCCTGTAACTGCTTCTCCCAACCAAGGTCTCTTTCCATGAAAAATCCCCCCAGGAAGCAGCTCCCCATGGAACACTGCAGCACTTCTCAGGTGTTACAAATGCTGAAGATCACTGAGATGCAGGCAGGGCTGTATTTGCAAGGACAAACAGCCTCCCCTGCCATGCAGGGGGATATTTCCCAGCAGGAATGTTAGCCTGGCTTTGCTGGATGTACCAAAGGTGTCCCAGGCAAAGCAAGTGCAGGATCTCTGCTCAGCCCCAGGACACAAAGACCTTTTTCCAAACCCCAAGTCCTTCTGGTGCCCACAGCAATGTGCAGGGAATGCTGGATGGAAATCCTGGGATATTTTAGTACTTTGCCCATGCTGGAGCTCAAGCCACTTTTCCAGCTACAGCAGAACCCCTCAGACTGAAACCTTTCACCAGCCAGATTTATCTCCTCATTTGAAAATGAAACGTCTGCCTGTTGCCTGTCCTGTTGCTACAACGCTGTTTTTCAGCAGCCTTGTTGATAAAATTCACATTTTCAAGCTCAGTGCTGCAGGATTTCCTGTTTCTCCTGCCTTACCACGTTCCCCATCTTTCCCTGATGATCCCAAAAGCAGGAGCCAGACCCTGCTCAGCACCACCCCCAGCTGCAGCCACGCTCTGCCACTTCCCCAAGAGCTCACTGGCTGACCACTACAAAAAAATCCCAATTAATTGTGCTGGGATCAGTTAAAACACCCCCAGCTGCAGGGCACAGGCTGCATTTATACCCTGAGGCATTTCTGGTGGCCCTGGCAGGAGGGGACAGCACGGGGACAGCTCTGATGGCAGCAGGCACTTGCCTTGAAAGCCATTTGGCAGCTCCCTGCTCTTGCTGCCTCAGAAACATCGATCACCCTCCAGCCCACTGAGACCTCTGGCTTCTCTGAAAGTCTTATTTAATTATTTATTACCATTGCTGAATAAAACATGGCACCTCCTGCAGCTGAGGGATCCTCCACGTGGCACACGGGAGGGAATTCCAGGCCAGCCCTTCCCCAGGAACCACCTGTGCTCACAGCTGGGGACTGGGGTGAGGCTCCTGGGGGGGATAAAGGAGGAGAAGAACTCTGAATATTTGTGCAGTTTGCTGGAAAATGAATTTAAAAACATATTAATGGAAGGATCCATAATGCAACATTGCACCCTGGGGGACACAGGGGTGAGCCCAGCCACGTGTGTTTGCTGAGAGTGCTTTGCAGCAAGACTTTCTTCACAGAGCATCAACTTTGGGCCAAAAAATCCCTGCTTGCAACACTAATTTGAGCTGCCTGAGATCACGTTGTAGCTGATTCTATTCCTGTTGTGCTTGTCAAAGGCACACTTCCACGCCATCTGTGGGCACTGCTCGCTGTAAATGCTCAGTGCAGACATTTAAGGAAACATTTAAGGCAAACTTTAGTCATTTCTGTGTTTCCAGCACGCCCAGCCTCGAGGCTGGGCTCTGCTCCCAGCACATCCCAAAGCTCCTGTTTTTCCAAGGTAGTGATGGCACCCTGAAGAGGCTTTTGGGCTCACTGGAACGTGGCAAAGGACAATGCTGAAACCAAGGGCTGAAACTTCCAGCTCCAAACTGCCCTGGAGTCCTGAATCTGTGCAAAGCCAGGAATTTCCATGGCAACAGCCAGGATGCAGGGAGGGAGGAGGGCAGGGAAATTTTGGCAGCAGAGGACAGAGGGTCCCCAGGCCCAGGGAAGGTGTGAGGAAGGGGGAAAGCAGCACAAAACCTGCTCTGGGGATGAAGGATCAAGGCAGGGGTTTGTGGAGCACGAGAGCTCTTGTGCAAAGCCCTGCTTTTATCTCTGAGAGGAGAGGAAATGGTCCCCAGTGATCAGAGCTGCTCTCCAGAGCAGATCGATGCAGGCAATCGAGAAATGCTGCATTAAGGGCCCTCTGTTCTCTCTTGGTACAGAAATATCTGAAAAAAGGCTGCCCTGGGTGCTTGAGAGACATCAGAGGGTCCCTCTGCCAACAGCAGCTTTCATTACCTGCCTGCAGCTCATCATCCTCATCCTTATCTTGCCTGAACACTTTTGACAGCTACACAAAGCCCTTTTCCCTTTTCTTTTTTTTTTTTTTAATAAACTGGCCTCGAGAACACTTAAAGCTCTCAACATTAATTTTTCAAATCCTAGTAACGTTAAATTAATTTACAATTTTCTACCCATCCAGAATGAAATAGCTGGCACTGATGCCTGCAATCTGATATTTTGGAATAGCAGGCACACAGAAAAACAAACCCAAGCTGCAAAAACATTGCTCTTACCAGTCATTTGTGTTATTTAGCCACAAACCAGGCAACATGGCTGCAAAGCAGGGGCTTCTCTGAAAGGGTGGGAGGAAGAGACTGACTGCTGCTGTTCCCATGACACATGATGAAGGAATTAGTCAACAGCTACACAGTGACAACCACTCCAGCTACTGCAAAATAAACAATAGATCTGGCAGAAGACAAGCAGGCTGTGGTCAACCCCAATATCTGAAAGAATCCTAAGAGCAGGCAGCAAAATATTCAAACCAGGTTCAACAGTTACTGATGAGCAAAGACTCAGAGCTGCTTCCTGAGTGGCAAGTTAAACATAAACCAAGTTTTTGCAGAAGAAAGCCCAAGATGACTGTTTGCTTTCACACGCCACTCAGCTCACATTCCAGGGCCACGTGTGCAGGGGGATTGCACAGGTAACACCTGCTCCCCTTCCTCTGTGCCTTGCAGCTGCCTGGAGGGGCTGGAAGCACAGCTCAGGACTCTCCTCCATGCAAAACAAAACTTGGAAAAGAAGGAGCAGCACAGGTTACAAGAGGAGTATTTCTAGTTGAAAGCCCACACCTCTCCAAACCTGGGCATTTCTGGCTTAGTAAAAAAGCCTCATTCCATGTGATAAAAGCCCTAAAAACCAGAGAATGCTGGTCATGCTGCTTGTCCTGCACAACAGCACACAGGGTGCCTCACCAAGTCAGGCTGCACTCCTCCCCTTGCAGCCTGCTGACAAACAGTCCATCCTGCAGCTTCCAGGGCTGCTTTGATTTATTGTGGCCATATGGGCTTGGGGGGGGGAGGAAGAAGATGGTGACAGATAGCACAGCTCATCTCAACCTGCACATGCACTGCAGCACAGGACTTCTCCAGAGCCCAGTGCCTTAACCATGGCAACAGCCAAATGCTGAGGGCTGCTCGGTGCCCTGGCTAATTCCAGTTTATTGTTTCTGTCCCTGCTCGGATCAGACCTTCTTCCCAGTGTTTGTCTTCTCAGTTATGGCCCTGACAGACGTGGCACAGCTCCCCAAGGACAGCCCTGCCTGTCCCTGCTCTCACCCGCACTGAGGGAGCAAAACCAGGCGTGGCCTCGTGAAATGAGAATAATGCAGGTCTGAGAAAGGTTAAAATCCTGGGAGTGGGGAAAAAAACATCCAAATTTCTGCAACTGGCCCTTTCTACTGCTCCTTGGAGTCTGCACACCCTCCTGACTTAACCCGAGGTCAGCCTAGAAGAGGAAGGAAAAGCAAAAGCATGAGCAGAGAGCAACAGGCACAAGAATGCCCCACCTGCTCCTGGTTTCAGGGATGGTGCTGAATGATTCACTCCATAACCTACAGGATGATGTTTCCCCAGGTTTTGAATTCCTACCAGAGCACAGTGGGAATTCCACTCCATGGAATTCCCTCACCTGTGTGGCACCCACTGCCCCTGCCCAAGCTCAGCACTTCCAGCAGGAGTGGGAGGCAAATCCCAAGGGAATGGCAACAACCTGGTACCTGCAGGGAATCCCAAGCATTGGGATCACCAGGAAAAAGCCTCTGCTCTGTGTCAGACCGAGGGGCTGCTGGAGAGAGCCCAGAGGGTGACAAACACCCAGCTCACAGCACCGTAGTGGCACTGCACAGGGCAGGAGGGCTTTCCCCACACACCCTCCCTCCCTCAGGCTTTACCCACATTCACCAAACCCACATCATCTGTCCCAAAACCATGAGAAGGGCAGGAACCAGCCCCAGCTCTGCTCCCTGGGGTACCAGCTCCACTCTCCCCAGCCCTGGGGGCCAGCAAAGCTGAAGGCTCTGGGGGAAGGCAGGAGCAGCCCTGGCTCCCACCCTGCAGCAGCTGCTCTGCACTCAGGAGCTGCCACAGACAGCAATAATGAGATGGCAGCTCTATCCACAACGCCAAATAAATGTCATACCCTTTTCCTGGTTTAATAGCCGTTGCTGAGGCAACCAGTAGTATTCCTTAGCACCACACCCGGCACAGGATGAGAGGTGGGAAGTGGTCTGGCTGGGCAGAGCTGTCACCCTCCCCAGACCCACCGCCCACGGCTCTGCTCCTCCCGACTCCAAGCCGTGTCTTCCACTCCCTGGAAACCGGAGAGCGAGATGCTCGTAACGCCAGAAACAAACACCGCACACCTTCCCCTCCCCGGCATGCCGGGAGGTGACCTGCGGGGACAGAGCGGGACGTGACAACAGCCCCCGGTGCTCGGGGACCCGATGGACCGTGGACATGGGATAAACACGGAGCTCGGCACAAAACAAACTAATAGAGGTGCCTGGGAAGGGGGAGCACGGCGAGATGCGGAACGCCATCCCCCCGCAGCGAGCACACGCATTTGGGCCCCCCTTGTCCTGGCCGGGGTCCCCAGCACCGCTGCCCCCCGCCCTGCCCAGGAGCGCCGAGCAGCGGGAGGGCTCGTCCCATCCCCGCTCCCAAGGGAAGGATGCAGCGCCGGGACTCGCCCCTTTTCCCTGCGCAAAATCCCAAGTTGTGGCGTGCCCTGCCCCCGGCCAAAGGCGATTTTCCAAGGATGCCGGGCACCGGCGCCGCAGGGATGCTCCTCCGCCCGCCGGGACCCGCAGCCGCGCCCGGCTGCGCTCTCGGCCCAACTCCGGGCTGGTTTTGGGGGGTCTGAACCCCGCGGCAGCAGCAGCAGCAACCGGAGCCAGGGATGCTCCCCGGGCAGGGCAGAGCCGCCGCTCCCGCGGGCACCGGGCCGGGGTCCCGCACCCACCTCCTTCTTCACGGTGCGCAGCAGCCGCTGCCGGGTCTCCGCCTCTGCGGGGAGAAATGAGGAGAAGAGACCCGTTAGTGCGGCCCTGCCCCGCCACCCCCGGTGTTGGTATCGGTCCCGGTGCCGGTGGCGGTTCCCCGCCGTCCCCGCCGGGGCCGCCGCCATGGCCGCGCTCGCTCCGCAGCGCCCGCAGACTGCCGGGCACCGGGCCGGGCCCACCGGCCGCACCGCCCCCCGCCCCGCCGGCCGGGGAGGGGCCGCCGCCGCCGCCAATCCGCGACCGGCACCGGCACCCCGCTACCCCGGCTCCGGTACCCCCGGCACCCCGCTACCCCGGCTCCGGTACCCCCGCACCCCGCTATCCCTGCTCCGGTAACACCGGCACCGGCATCCGCGCTACCCCCGGCATCCGCATCCCCGGCATCCCCGGCACCGACACCCCCGGCACCGACACCCTCGGCAACCCCGGCACCGGCGGCCCGAGGGACGGGTACCGGTGCTCTCGCCCGGGTCTCAGCCGGGACCGGTCCCACGGTGCGGTCACAGCCGTCCCCCGGCTCCCGGTGTCGCAGCAGCCCCTGATCCCCGTTACTCCCCCAGCCGTGTCCCCGCACCCCCGGGCCAGCCCCCGGTGGCCGGGCTGGGTGGCACCGCGCGGGGAGAGCCCTGGGGGTGTCCCCGCTCGTCGGGACGGCTGGGGCAGTGTGTGGCCTCGGACAGGAGGTCAGGGCTCTGGGGGTCCCTCGCAGGGGGGAAACAACCGCGTCCTTTGAGGTGTGAGCCTTCCAGGCCCGCTCCGGTGAGCTCCAGCACAGCGGGAAGGTGACAACGACCGGAGACCCCCAACACCTCCTCTCAAAATCACACCACAGCCCCTCGGAGAGTGCCCTGCCTGCAGCTCCATTACCACCTCCTCTGTTTTCCCTGGTTTGCTGTTCCAGGACATTTCCATAGAAACAGCATCCTGGCTCCTCCGCAGTCCGGTTTTCAGTCACTACGAACCGCGGCAGCGGCCACGGGCACGGCCCGGCCCGGCCCCGCTGCTCCGGGACCCCATCCCGGCACGGGCCGCGGGGACAGGGACACGCCGTCACCCCCGGCAGCCCCCAGGGCTGGGCTGCATCTCTGCCGCCGAGCTTTGCTCCTCCTCGGTGCCTCACTGACAGCAGGGAGCATCATCCCAGCGGTTCCCTCCGCTGCACAGTGGCAGGAGGACAGGAGGGAGCTCTGGCCTCGGGATTAATCCGAATTCGGTTCCTTCTGCACCTTCCAGGGGCCAGGAGGAAGCCTGGGCCGTACCTGTATTTCCGTGTGCTCTGTTTGCTTTTCGCTGTTTATTTGCTTGTTAAATACCCGTTTAGCACAAATGTAACTCGGGGGAATGTGATTGCTGGACCAGATGGGTCCCAGAATCCTTGGGAGAAAATAATCTGAAAAAAGCACAGGGACAAGCTCCCCCCAAGCCTTGCTGGCTCCTTTTCCTTGGGAAATTCTGCCTCTCCCTGGATTAAAGGCAGGTGGGAGAGGATTGGCCCCTGTTTTCTGGAGCTTGAAGAGCTTAAATGAGAGCACGTTGATCTATTCTTAATGTGATTAAGTTACATCTCCAAGTATCATGCTAATTAAATTAAACTTCCCACTGCTGCCTCTGAGGCTTAAACAGGAGGGATAGCTGTTTTAAGACCACAATTCACTTCCCTGCATGGATGAGCAGGTGGGATAAAAGCATTCTGCTGATCAGGTCATCTTGGTGTTTAGAAACAACTTCTAAAGCAAGGGATATTCAACTTTAAATCTGATTGGAGCTGGATTTCAACTCTGCATTTTCAATCTGAAGTGATTTGTGCTTTGGATAAGGAAAACAACGGGGGAAAAGCAGCATTGGCTGGGGCAATGCACAGACTGTCTGACCACAGTGTCTCAGGTGGGGAAACAGGAGATTGGGAAGGAATTCCTCCCTGTGAGTGCTGAGGCTGCTCCATCACTGGAAGTGTCCAAAGCCAGCTTGGACGGGGCTTGGAGCAGCCCGTGACAGTGGAAGTGTCCCTGCCATGGCAGGGGTGGCACAGACTGCTCTTTAAGCTCCCTTCCAACCCAAACCATTCCACGACCTGCCCAGGACGCCTCTCCCCTGCCCTCCTCCCACCTGCAGCATCTCTTTCCAGCGGGCGGTTTCCGAAGGCGGGTGCGGATGTCAAAGCTCCGCGCTGATGGCTCTGACAGCGCGGCCGTGCCCCCGGCGGCGTGCACGGCTCATTCCCCGGCCATCCCGGGGCATCTGTGCGATGGCCGTGCCCCCGGCAGCGTGCACGGCTCATTCCCCAGCCATCCCGGGGCATCTGTGCGATGGAGGCACTGAACCGACTCGGCTCGGCCCGGGGCTGCAGCACCGGCCGTGCCCGAGCACTGCGAGCTCCCGGAGAGCAGCGTGAGCATCCCGGCGCTCAAACCCTGCACGGAACAGCTCCGGCCGCCGCTGCTCCTGCAGGCACAGCTCTGCCCCCCGAGCGTGGTGTGATAGCTCGGTGCGAGGGAAAAGAGACTCTTCAGGAGAGAAAGGAGATTGGTTTGAAATGGATGCCAGAGTTTGAACAGCTGCTGCTTCACACTGGGAAAGGGGTCCCTGTCCAGTGCTGGAGGGATGCTGGGGGCTGTCCCTGCTTCCCGCAGACCCCTGAGACCCCTGGCAGTGCCTGAGCCCATCTGCTGAGCCCTCCTGAGCAGGGGCAGGACGTGGGAACAGGGGGGTCTCCCACTTGTCCCACTGAGCCATTCCGTGTAAACCACCCGGAGAAAAGAAGGGTCAGCAGCAGACAAAGAGCTCTTACCTATTCTCTATGATCTATTCTCTATAATCTATTCTCTATAATCTATTCTCTATGATCTATTATTTTTCACAGTTGTTAGGGCACCAGCTGCCTCAGTTCTGTTGTTTACACCCCGAGATGGTCTTTGGTCAGGGGGTTAAACCCCGCTCCCCAGAGGGGATTTCTCCCCTTCATCCCAAAACCCAGGACAAGGGCAGCCCCTCTGGCAGCCCCCACAGCCTCGGCTTTCATCTCCACTCCAGCTCTGAAGGATTGGGATGCACGGCTCTGGAAATTCCCAGGAGGGGCACAAATCCCATATAAACCAGGGCAGATGAACTCTCCCTCCCCACCTGTGTGCTGGGGCTGGGCTTGGGGGGAGCCACATCAGGTTTAGGAGCTGATGGAGGGGCTGTGCCGGGAGCCCCCCAATCTCCCCTCAGCCCAGGGACCACCCTGACCCCCCCCACCCAACCCTTCACTGGGGGAACATCCACGTAACCCCCCCAGCAGAAAACTGCTGTGTTTCACAGCAGGAGAGGTGTTCCAAGAACAATTATTTCACCTTAAAGCAACAATAATTTCAGGTTCCACAGCGGAGAGGGAGTGCAGTCCACCCTGTGGAGGGGCTGACAGGACTGGACCCCCTTTTAGGCTTTTCCAACCTAAACAATTCCGTGACTCTGTGATTCCATTCTATGACAGCCAAAGCAGCCAGGGCCAGACACAAACAAAACAAAACAAAGCAAAAAAAAACCAAAACAAAAAAAAAAAAAGAAAAAAAAAAAGAAAAAAGAAAAGAAAAAATATAAAAACGCTTTTAACTGGAGGTTTCTAGCGGGTCCCTGTGTGTGTGCCTGAGGGATTAACAGTGTCCAGAGGCTTCCCGTGCCCGGCAGCTGCGTCACGTCGTCACAGCAACCCGCTCACCATGGCCCTGGAGCCGCAGCACCGGCTTCATCTCTCCTGTATTTTCTTTTAATTAAAGATGGGAAAGGCTGTGAAAGCCAGGGCTGGAGGCCCCCAGAGCCCCGGGAGAACCCGGTGACCTCAGGTCTGTGCAAGCCCTGCACAGACACGTTTCCCTGCAATGAGTTTTGCTGTGAAGCTGTCGCGGGGCAGAGCGGCGGCTTTGGGGGTGCTGCCATCCCCTCCTGGTCACAGCTCAGCTGTGAAAGTTATTTCACTTTTGTGTGGCTTTTTCCAGGCAATTCACACCACAGAGACCTGTCGAGCCCAGATGGATGAGATGACCTTTAAAGGTCCCTTCCCTCCCAAGCCACTCCACGATTCCCGAATTTCCCCTGCGAGCATCAATGTCACCTCCTTAGCAAAACACACCATGGAGAGAGAAACCAGCATTTGTCAGGAGGAAGGAAGAAACACAGTCCCATTTTACCACCTCAGCCCCAAAAACAGAGCTGGAATCCCCTCCCCTGGGTGGGACCCACGGGGTGATGTTTATCCACACAAGGTGAGGCTGGTCCCTGTGGGATAATGCTGGTCCCTGGGAGATGATGCTGGTCCCTGTCTGCAGGGTCAGGCTGGTCCCCATGAGGTGATGCTGGTCCCCATGGGGTGATGCCAGTCCCTGCAGGGTCAGGCTGGTCCCTGTAGGATAATGCTGGTCCCTGGGGGATGATGCTGGTCCCTGGGGGATGATGCTGGTCCCTGCAGGGTCAGGCTGGTCCCCATGAGGTGATGCTGGTCCCTGCAGGGTCAGGCTGGTCCCAGGCTCGGGGGCTGCCCTCCCCACTGCCTTTGATCAGAGCAGGGCTCTGTTTCCCTGCTGGCTGCTCCCCGTGCAGGTTTCCAGCGGGAGGTGGGGAAGCACAGCCAGCCTGACCCTCCCCTCCTCGGATCTGTCATCAGCAGCACAGAAACCCTTCCCAAGTTACTCAGCCTGAATCCTGCAGGATTCGCCGGGGTGGCAGGATGGCAGAGCAGCCCTGCCTGGGTCCCCCTGCCAGCCCTGCACCCCCAAACCCCCACACCCACCCCAGGGACAAGTGGAGCAAAAAGATGGATTTCCTCCTCTCCGCCATCGGATTCGCCGTCGATCTGGGCAACGTCTGGCGGTTCCCTTACATCTGCTACCAGAACGGAGGGGGTAAGGACACCAGTGGGCTTATTTAAGTCTTCTTTTGGAGAAATGATGCCTTTTCCCTCGTTTTCCATCTTTCCCACCCTGAAGAATTCACTGTTTCTTCTCCTTCTTTGTTTCCAGCTGCTCCACTTCAGTCAGGGCGGTTTACGGACCGACCCAACTTCTCCTGACATTTGTCTCTTTTCTGTTTGTGTCTTTCTTCATTCAAAATCCTCCTCCACTCCCTCCATCCTCCTTCCCTGGGCTCCTTTCCTCCTCTTCTGGTCTTTCCTTCCTTTCCCAGCGGGGTTA